TCTCTCTCTCTCTCATATACACACAAACACACACACAAACACACACACACACACACACATACTCACTCACACATACACATTATTTTCAAACGCACACACATTAATCTCTAATAAAATCACAGCATGAGACGTTTCAAGTCCGACCTCAAAGTATATCAAGATACTGGGAACCCGCGAAGTCCTTCTGCTTTGGTTCCAGCGGGTTCTCCATTTCAGACTTTGACACAATATCCGTGTGGAGGTTTGAAATTATTCCGTGTGGTCCCTACTGAGAGATGTTATCTACAAGACTGACTTTACTGATTGCTGTATTTACGAATCTGGTTATTTACAGCCATGCTAGCCCATCAACGGTGAGTCTTTTATCACGATTTCATGCTTGAATAGTTCGAGGTCCTTTAACTACTATACTTATGCAATAGCTTAACACTACACAGAATAAGAATGCAGGCTACAATTCTCAATGTTTATGACGATGATAATGATGATGATGATGATAATGATGATGATGATGATGATGATGATGATGATGATGATGATGATGATGATGATGATGATGATGATGATGATGTAATCTTAAGACCCTCTTTGTAAGGCTTAGTCCCTGCTATTATACAGTGCCGGTTTACCGGGCGAGACGTTGAACCTGTATTAAATTTGAAAAATCTACAAGTCTCAACCCTTTTTTTTATTCCCTGCTATTTACAATAATGATGATGATGATGATGATGATGATGATGATGATGATGATGATGATGATGATGATGATGATGATGATGATGATGATGATGATGATGATTTTCCCGATCTTATTTTTCTCTTCTTTGGAAAGGAAAGAGGTCGTGAAACTAAACATATCCGTGCTTCAGAGTATAAATGATTTCAGGTCCAAATACTGTTTTTAAAATTAGGGAGTAATCAATTTAGAAAATTGACGACTGCGAAGAACGGAACCAAATTTTTGGAAAAGTCTTCTGAAAGGAAATGGACAATATCCAGCGTATCTAAACATTGATTTAAGAAATAATATTTCCTTTTGTTTTCTTGGGTTGTCTGAAGGTTAGGAATGTTATATAGAAGATGGTCTATTGTTGAAAAAAAAAAAGAATCTAAGTGCAATGGTTACCTTTCATAGCTCTTGTCATCCCAGTATGCCAAAAGCCTTTTGCATGTATATAGAATTTGCTGCCCAATTATTAACATCTGAAAATGTTGAGAAGGTACTGAACAAGTTCCCGACGAAAGATAGGAGTTCAGTTGCTGCACGAAGACGTATATTTAATGTGATGTGTTGATATGCATATATATTATGTATATACAAAACATTATATATTTTTATAT